AGAATGCGAATGAACAAGAAAAATAGCTGATGCACAATGTAACTACTTGCAATTTAATGTACAGTTTTATGTTACCCCAGTATTCGGATGAATGCATTTAAATCGAGCAAAGATAATGTTAATTAAAAGATTTAATGCCATATAAGTTTTACACAATTTTGCTGACAGTTATCTATTTGTCAGTATTATTAGATATTAATCAACATATGTTTAGTAGTCATAGTTGACCATATTAATTATTTTATTATAATTAATTTAAATAATTAACATTATTAAATATTGCAAATAACTAATGAGATCAGGTTAACAATGAATTGAGAAACTCCAGATAGTTTGAATCGACATTTTTTCTAATATATTAGCAATTTGTGATTAGGATGAGATTCAAAGTCTTTAATAACTAAGCAGGTTTTATTAATTTGGAAATGCATGGCAAATTGGCCAAAATGTAAATTTGAATATATTTATCCATAGTCATATCAAAGAGAGCACTAATAAAATCAGTATATAAGAAAAATATTTTTTTGCAAATTCAATATTAACTTCTGAACTATTATTGATCTTGCCATTCATTAGCAATTAAAATTAGTTTTTTAAATTGTTCACTATATTAGAAATGGTAAATCATCCACTATGAATTATTGCGAGCCAATTTATGATGAATGTCAATGTATGACGTTAATTAAAATTTATTATATTAAGTATAATTTTATGGAAAGTAACTTTTGTTAGATATTTCAACTTCATAGTACAAGTTATACCTGAATTATTTCCTACTGTAAAAGAAAATAATCTTGGCCACGCATTGGCAAATTTTAACTTATTAAATTCTGTACAGCGTTAGAATGTACAAAATTGATTGTGATTTTTTAATATTGTGAATAGCATTAATAAGTAATTAGTTTATTAGAAATGCCAAATTTCAAAAGTTCATAATAACTTGGCAACAAATGAAAATTTTCCAGCGAATCAGGTGCATAATTATAATAAAGTCATTATATCACTAACATTTTGAGATGATAATTTTCTCTAAACTACTCTATGGTTTTGTAGATTTTGCAGAATGTTAGTCGAAATATACCATCTGCTAATAAATGACCAACAACTTTCCAATCTGAAAGAAATGCCCAATTTCATATTGAGTTCATCATTACCTGGTAACAAATGAAATCATTTCTATGTATAAAGTGGATAGACAAATTTATTAATAAATTTGGTATGAAGTTCACAATCAGCAATGAGAGAAATTCTGCTTCTATACATAATTTTCCTACAACTCTCTAGTAACTTTCCGAGCCATTTGATTTTGAAACCCTTTAGAAAGTACAGATTGTTTCAGTAGATTGCAAATACCTAGTAGAAATTTCTGTTTCTCATGAAGTAATGGATAAAAAAGAAACCTACTGCACCAAGTTAATTGTAAAATCACAAATGGATTTAATTTTTTTCCCATTTACTTCATGTAGGATGTCTATCTGAAAGAATATAAACCTGTATATATTTTAGAAACTCAAGACTGATGAGTGGAGGTGGATGCCCCAGAATTCAATCTTTAAACAAAACAAATAAAAAGCACATGGATCTGATTAGTTCCAATACAACCTAAACGAAGAAATGATCCTCCCCGATAATCGTACAACATATGTGACATCAGAAAGCCGATAAAAACTCATTTAAAAAAAACTTAAAACATAGTTATAGTGATAAATTATTCAGAATATTGGAAATTCTAAAAATTCACTATGGCAATGAAAACCATAAGTTAATGAAATTTATCACTAGTTGCTTCAAGAAATTACTAACTGCTTGGAAATTTAGTACATATCTACAAGTCCAATGTAATTTGGTCATTACTGATCATTTTGGTCTGCCTACACTCTCTAGATACTGCAGGGGGAGAGCGAGCACTGAAGATGGCGAAATGCCGAAAGGCGTCTGACAGACCAACCCTGCGAGAATAGGTAGACCCAATTTTACCTTCATCACCCCGCACACACAGAAATATTATAAGTACTAATGTAGTAAATCATAAATCAGAGAGCAAACATTTGAAATCATTTAAAAAAGAGGCTGGATTATAAATTTTTAGTACATTAAAAAACAGAATCTCATTAGAAATTTCCAATTTTATGTATATGATTACTGGTGATGGGTAGGGTTTGTGAGCCGGTGAATAAATAGTGAACTGGGCCTACAGTGAAGACAGCGCAAATCTGAAATGCGTTTGAGTGTCGGTTCAACATATGAATTACTTAGTAAAAAATAAAAATAACCAGGGTATCGGGTGATTTTGTAAGTAGTAATTTTCAAAGAATTTTCAAATATGCCAATTACAAAATTTTAAATTTGTCTATATACTGAAAAACGTTTTATTCTCTCCCACAAGTTGTCATGAAATTCTGAAACAGTTGAATTTTTGCAATTAATTTTCTGCAAGTTACAACCATTATCAATTTTGCAACATATTAATCCTCAATTCCAGGTGGATTGACATCACAATAGCTCAAGAGATTAGAGGAGTGGCGAACTGAGCTGAAGGTCATGGGTTTGAATCCCGCTTGTGACACTTACTTTTTCATCTCAACCAAGGCCTTATATTAAAAGTATCATTTATTAAATAATTAAATGTTGATAACCATTATGTTAAATTCGTTTGGAGATTGGGATGTTTGGTCAGGTAGATATGTAATAAAAGTAGAGAAAAACTATGTTTCTAAGTATGCCGATATTTCATCAAGGTGGGTACTAATTGAGCTTTTCAGTTTATAATCATAGTAGTTGCCAGTCACAGAGCATACGAACACACTTGTTCACCCATGTCAACTCTTACTACTTTGAAACAATCAATTAAATCTTGCTCCTTTCATCAATTAATTGGGCTTTATAAATAAACCATTGTTGTAAGTTAGGTGTTTAGTGTGCTGTAATAAGTATGTAATTTGAGTTGGCTAGGGATGGTATTATACCCTATCATTGAATCCCAAGAAACTATTCAGAGGCAGTAGATTGGATTTAGGTCCTGACACTCTACAATCCATCAATGTCTTTGTCTTGTGGACGTCATTTCATTCTCCCTTGAGCAGAAGCAGTGTTGTCCGGGTGTATTCCTTGACAATAGGGTTTGACTCCTGGGCTTCCTGTGGAAGCTGAAGTGCATCCTACCCAGTACATACAACCTTATCCTAAAATCGTACATACTACCTGTTACTTCAGAGTTAGGGCAAAGCAAATTTCTATCAATCCTATATGAGCTGGCATCCTGCAAGGGAGTATTCTTGGACCACTCCTTTACACAATATATTCTGCTGACATTCCTATCTTTAGAGAAACAATTCTCTCTACTTTTGCTGATGACACAGCAATCCTCTCCCTGCATAAAGGTCCACTTATTGCAAACAGAAACCTTCAAAACCTTTTGCAGTGCCTAGCTGTCTGGTCCAAAAAATGAACAGTTAAAATAAATCCAATGAAGAGCCAATACATTAACTTCTCAGGCTTATAACACTACCACCTATTTGCTTTAACAGGATTTTACCATCCCCTGTTGAACACGTATGTTACTTGGGACTCTACGACTTACATGAAATCTGCACACAAGACTAAAATGAAACAAACTGAACAGACCGTACAAACTGTTATCAATACTACTTAACAGTTCATCAAAATTTCCATATAATTACAAAAGATGAATATATAACATGGTTCTCAAACCTATGTGGACTTATGGTATCGAACCCTAGGGGTCAACCAAGAATTCCAATTCCCAACGCATCAAAAATTCCAATCAAAGCAATTACAAAAAATTCCACCCATCCCAATGCCTTAGTCTGTCAGCTCAGTTCCACTACCATATCAGATAATCCTCCCCGTTGAATGAGACGCCAATGTACATGTGACCCTCTAAGCGATGAAGAAAACTGAAATTTTTTTTAAAGGAGGCTCACTGGGTGATTTCCCCTCACACTCAAAGTCAATTTTATTCTTGTAACATTTTTATGTTTTAATTGTTATGCAGATGTAAAAATGAATAAAAAAATATAATTTTAAGGCATTGATTGAATTTTCTTAATGTACAGATTTTCTGTTTTTGTCATTCATCAATATTCAATTTGAAGGGTTTGGAAGTGATTGTTTTCTGTAATTTTTAAAAAAATTTAATATATTATTTTATCAATTAATTAATCTTTTTTATGTAAGGTTTGGTCGAGATGAAAGTTAGTGTCATGAGCGGGATCAAAGTCACGATAGCTCAACGGGTTAGAGCAGTGGCATATTGAGCCGAAGATCAGTGGGTTCAAATCCTGCTCGTGACACTAACTTTTTCATCTCAAACAAGACCTTACATAAAAAGAATAATTAATTGAAATAATTAATATGGTCAATTAGACCACTGACCATAAATGGATTATTATTTTATTTAAAAGAAATAGTTTTAAAAAAAAGTACCCTGGTTTTCTTCATCGCTATTAGTCATAACAGGCTCCCATACCAACTATACAAAATTGGGTTGGTAGACCAAGACACATGTTCATGCGACAACAGGTCTGTAACCGATGCTGACTTCATCTTCTTATCATGCCCTGGCACTTCACGAGGAAGAGAAGACTTATATGACCTAGTGATTACACAAGGGGGTCCCACAAATAGGTCCGTTATAGTCGCCAAAACGACATCTACATCTATTGGATGAGATCGTGGCTTTCTAACTGACATCCTAATATAATATAAATAATAAATTAACAAACAAGTGATAAAAATGATACAATCAAACTGGCGTGGCGTTTGACTACACGGCAAGGCAAAAAAAAAAAGTTTTAAAATTAGACAGGGAGCTTTTGGCGAGGGCGAAGGAGGTTATTTTTAGACATGGTAATCCTCTTCTGAATGGTGAGGTTTCCGTTTTCGATATGCCTCTACAGGAATGCAGAGGATGCGAGTTCTTAAATTTATAAATTAAATAAACCGATAAAAAGAAAAGGAAAAGTTAAAAAAAGGGTTACCTCCTTTGCAGGGTGTCCTGTGGGCGGAGTGCTGTGCACGGTAGCCGGTGATATTTTCGTAAACTCCCGAATCTCGCCTGACTGGGAAGGAAATCTCGATGATGTGGTCGCAGTGCTGCATGCCCATGAGGATGCCTTTGACCTTCTTCCTCTTCTCCTCCTCGGACATTTTAGCCCTCATCTCTTCGACGAACTTGTCCTCGGCGATCTGGCACGCCCGGTGGAAGAAATACTCGACCATGTCGAAGAACCTCGGGTTTTCCGCCGTCGGCACGTCTTTCAGCTTTTCCGGGATCTCGTGGTAGCCCCGATGCGGGCCGATGCCGTTCAGCTGCTGGACGGACGGCGCGGCCGCTTTCAGGAGGGTGCTCAGCTCCACCTTCCCGCCGACGCACTTTCCAACGGATCTGAGGTGAAACATGGCCTGGTCTCGGGCGAAAACTGTCGATTCGAAGGAATTAAGAGCCTCTTCCTGAAGTGTTAAAAGCCGACACGGCGCTCGTCTTCCCTCCCTTCCCCTTTTTCGATGAGACTGCCCTCCTCGGCCAGGGTTTAGATAAAAAAAATCCACTCAGACCAGCTGTTACACGCACCCACCGCCCTCTACCGCCGACTTGATCTCTTATCAATTTCCCGCCTTCGATTCGAAGGGCACTTTTGCGTCGCCATTTCTTCCTTCATCACCGTATCGCGCAGTTGGGAACGTCTCACATTCGCGTAAGTTCTTCTAATCTTAAATTTTCGATTTAAATTATTCACCACTTTCTGATTTATCCTAACTCCAAGTCTCACATATACCATTTTTAACTAGCTCGATTTCTTTCTCACGAATAACTAATGTTTATGCCCGATGTTTATGAAACCAACACACTCGTAGACAAAACCGCGCGACTGCCAGTCCCTCAGTTAAACTAATCTGCTCAAAAATGAATAGGGATATTTGTAATTTATTCTTATCCTATTAATTTTAATTAAATTAACCGATATATTCCTGTTAGGTGAATAAAACAATAGAAAATACAAACCAATGTTAATCCTCATTTTTAAGAACGGTTTTCGTAAGAATAGTAAACATGAAGATTACTCATTTTGTGTAGAATTGTGTAGTGACCGATAATTAATGATTATTTGGAGATCGTGATGCGATCTGTTGTGATGTAGGTTTAGAAAAACGTGTAGTGATTAGTGACCGTTAGTCGATGATTATTCAGAAATAGTCAGATGCGGTCTGGTGTGATGTAGGTTTCAGAAAAACATTTTCTTTATCGTGCCAATTTTTCGATCTTTATTGAGGTCATCTTCAGGGCCTGGGATTTACAAACATTATTTAAATTTAACAAATACATGTAGGATGCGAAAAAAGTTAATTTATACAATGCCAAAAATATTTTTTATGTTCAATGAAAGTATTTCTACTCACTCGATGTGTTAGTTTTCTGCGTAATTGGGCCATTCTTGCGTGTCGTGTGATGATGATCTTTACTTAGATCATCTACAGGGCCTGGGATTTACAAACGTTGTTTGGATTATACAAATACATATAATGTTACATCATGATGGATGAGTGTATATCTAAAACAGTATGTAAACCTGTATATTTTGACTGATGAGGAGAGCCGGATGCCCCTAAAATCAATCTTATAAATAAAATAAATAAAAAGCACAATGGTCTGATGATGAAATGAACCTCACCGATACTCGTTCAAAATATGTGATATCAGAGAGCCAATAAAAACGCATTTAAAAAAAAAACTTAAAACATAGTTATAGTGATAAATTCTTCACAATGTTGGAATTTCCAAAAATTCACTATGACAATGGAAAAAATGAATGAAATCAATAAAATTTATCATTTATTGATTCAAGAAATTACAAGCTGCTTTAAAAATTCAGTACATATTTACAAGTACAATGTAATTTGGTCGTTACTGATCATCTGGTCTGCCTCACGTCGCTAGGGGGAGAGCCAACACTGACGATGGCGAAATGCCAAAATGCGTTTGACAGACCGACCCAACGAGAATAGCCAGACCAAATTTTACCTTCAACATCCCGCACACAAAGAAATGTTACTGTAGTAAATCATAAATCAAAGAGCAAACATTTGAAATCATTTAAAAAAGAGACTGGATTACAAATTGTTCGGTACATTAAAAATAACAGAGTCTCAATAAAAATTTCCAATTTTATCTATATTATTTGAAGGTGGGTATGGTCTGCGAGTAGGTGAATAAATGGTGAACTGTGCCTTCAGTGAAGATGGCGCAAAGCCGAATCGCGTTTGAGTGCTGGTTCAACATACCAATTACTTAAAAAATATAAAAACGGGTATCCAGTGATTTTGTAAGCAGTAATTGATTTTCAAATATGCCAATTACCAACTTTTAAATTTATGAAACACGGAAAAACTTCTTGCTATATGACAATAAAAACCGTTTACCCCGGTATTTTTATAAATGTAGTATACTGCCAGTCACAGACCATACGAACACACATGTGCACACATGTCAACTCTGTCACAACTTTTCAACAATCAATTAAATCTTTCTCCCTTGGTCAATTAATTGGGCTTTATAAATAAACCACTGCTTGGAGATGTAAGTTAGGTGTTTAGTGTGCTTTAATATGTAATTTGAGTTAGCTTGGTGTTAGCTAGCCGGGGGCTTAGATAAAAGAACCACTCAGACCAAAACGCACCCACCGCCCTCTGCCGCCGACTTGATCTATCAATTTCCCGCCTTTGATTCAAAGGGCACTTTTGTGTCGCCATTTCTAACTTACTCACTGTTCCACGACTATCGCGCAGTTGAGAACGTCTCACATTCGCGTAAGTTGTTTTAATCTTAAATTTTCGATTTAATTAGTCACCACTTTCTGATTTATCACCAATGTTTATGCCAGATTTTATTGTATTTAGTTATTTACGGTTTCCCAATTACAAATGTATACAATAAAATATTAAGGTTATAACTGTAGATAAATTTAGAAATATTTATAATAATAAGAAAAAGCAACAATAAAACGAACAATTTAGAATGAATAGAAACAATTTGAAAATGTATTTACACAATAATAATTATTAATTATTAGTTACAATCAAATTCAATATTAATTACATTAATGTTGCAAATTTAATTTTCTAATAATAAAATTTGCTTAAACAGACATTAAATATATCTATATTTTCGAACGAGTTTAACAAATTTGTTGTTCTTGGTTGACTGTTAATTAATGATTATTTGGAGACCGTGGGATATGGTCTTGTGCGATGTAGGTTTAGAACATAAGTGAAGCCTGGGATTTACAAACATTGTTTGGATTATACAAATACATGTAATGTTTGTAAATCCCAGGCTCTGAAGATGATCTAAATAAAGATTGAAACGTTGGCACAATAAAGAAAATGCTTTTCTAAACCTACATCACACATACCGCATCTCACTACCTCCACGTGATCATTACTCATTTTGTAAACAAACACTTTTTCTCCTATTTTCACTCAATTTTAATCCAGTTGTATTATCTTTAACCATGGAAGGACACAATCTTGAATCAGAAGTTCGCAATATTATTGTGAGAATGAGTCATCGAGATCTGCTTTTATCGATACACTTGTATTCTTTACATAAAGTAAAATTGTTTTTCATTTATACTAAGGTTGATAAGGAGAAGCTATGGATATACGATTAAAACGAATAAAAATTCTTTTAGTGATAGTCGAAAAAGTTAGACATTTGTTTGAGCATCCTAAAAAACGACCAACCTACTTGGACAAAAAACGAAAAGGATCAATCTGCCGACGAAGTAAATTAGTATCTATTGAAATACATCGGGTCAAAGTTGGCTAACATATATTTTGGCAAGAAGAAACAATTCGATATTCATTTCTGCTGCCCAAAACCTTTTGATTATAAATGTTTGAAATTTTTTTTCTCAAACTTCGTTTTCCAGAAGGCTGTGATTTTGTTCGAAAAACGTAAAAATGTTAGCGATCCACTAGAATGTTTACAGGCGTCTAGAATCCTATTGTCTGGATGTTCTGGCGCAACTGGCATATGAAAATTAACAACTCGTGATATATAAAGTTTTGATTGGTATTGTCCCTATTTTTATTATTATTATAACATACCTATATCAAAGTTTATTGGCAGAGGCTCAAAGAAGATAAATTTAGCTTTCGAAACACGGTAGACATTCAATCCTGAAGTGTTACACATTGAATTGACGAAGTTGAATTTTTAAGTGGAACACCGGACATCGACGAGAAAAGAAATTGCCCCTGGTAAATTTAGCCAACAACTGTGTGTTTTTTATTGCCGTGAAAATTCTTAAGGTTGAAAAAGGTGCTAAAAATGAATTTTTTTTAAGGGGGTTTACAAAAGCAATCTTGCGAATTGTTTTGTTATCTTATGTTACAAAAACAAATAAACTGATAAATAATAACCCAGAAATGCGTAAACAATAAAAGACAGAAACCCTTATTTAAAAAAATGTAAACTTCATGAATTTTTTCTCAGCTCCTTCAGCTCATTGGTAACAATGTGTTTAAGATGAGTCTAAATAAAATGCTCAAAAATGAATAGGGATATTTAACCCTAACCACCCCCAAAACAAACAAATACTAATCCTCACTTTTAATAACGGATTTACTTAAGAATAGAAAACATGAAGATTACTCATTTTGTAAACAAACACCTTTTCTCGTCCTTTCTTCATTTTAATCCAGTTGTATTCTCCTTAATCATGGGAAGAAATCATCTTGATCCAGAAGTTGGCAATTTTGTTGGGAAAATGAGTCATCGAGGTCACCGGCAAGTGGATATCGCAGATGCAGTTGGCCTTTCTCAGAGCTTTGACCGAGAGACTAGAAGTGATAATACGAGGCTTGGTAGTGGATCTCAGCGCATTACGACGCTAAGGGAGGAGATAAATACTGTCATTGCTGGAAGAGGAACTGTTGCTATAGTGCCCGCCTTATCTTAAATGAAGTACAAGATGTTTTGTATGTCTTTATCAACCCAAACGATTATGAATCGTTTATGGGAAGTTGGCCTCACATCGTATGCCATTTTGAGACTATCTATAGTTGGCGTTTCTCAGTTCGTGGTATCTCGGCCTTTAGCCCGATTCCTTGAGACTGGAAATGGCAATAGGAGGCCTGGTAGTGGATCTCAGCGAATTACGACGCTAAGGGAGGACATAAATATTGTCATTGATAGAAGACGGAACCCTTTCTGTAGAGCCCGCCTTATCCTAAATGAAGTACAAGACGTCTTTATGAACCCAAACGATTACGAATAGTTGGCCTCAGGAAATGGTGCAGAGAGCGTCAATTGGAATGCTGTTATGTATGCTGTTAAGTCGCGTTTCTGCAGGCGCTGAAGAGTCTACCGAGAACAGGGGATGCGTACAATGCTCCAGTTCGTGTTCCCTTCAGTGCAGTTTGGTGTTATGAGGTTGAGGTGGAATGAACGTAGCAGGGGGAGGGTTTAACGATTACTTCATCGCCTCATTATAGCTTGAGAACTTGTATTAGAGTCTGT